CCAGCCAGCATGCTGGCTGGGGAATTCTGGGAGTTGGAGCCCACACATCTTAAAGTCGCTGAGGTTGAGAAACACTGCTGTAGATTATACTTTGGGAACTGCAGTATTCTTCTGGGTTCTAGCCAAGGAACTGAGCAATTTCCTGACTAATCATCTCTAACTTGACACCCTTGGGATGTTTTTGGACCACAGCTCCCATCTGCCCAGCCAAACAACCAACGGTAGACGGGCTGCAGGAATTATGGAAGCTCTTGCTAAAAATGATGCCCTTGGACAATGACAAAGACATAGAATGGAAGGAAAGGGGGCTGAAAATTGTAGATTTTAGAAGGCTACCCTAGAGCATGCCCCAGAATCCTGCCCCAAACACATTTGGTAGGCCACTGGGTAGTCTTCCTTGGCAAGCAAGCTAATTATCAAAAGCATTCTTGGCTTCAGTGAACAAGCCACCGCTCTACAAAAGACAAGATAAAAGGTTTCGAAAGTGAGCAATAAAGTTGTACAGCTGAGCAATGTCCTGGAGGTGGCGAGATCCATTGGTACAGGAGAAGCAGGAGGCATCTTGTCGAGAGAAAGCACTTCTGTACATTTTTGCTTTCTCTCTTGTTGACTGAGATGTTCATATACTTTCATAGCCAGAAGATGGAGAGTTCAAGGAGGCAAAGTGGTTGAATAGGCCTGCAAGGTGAGAGAATGAGAGCATATAAAGAACCAAGAGGGTGAGCTTGAGATGCTAAAGCCAACCTTAAGTCACACAGGCATAATTGTTTATGAATTACACAACCCTAAGGTTGTGTTGAGCACGTGCAAAGATGATAACCCACTGTCCTATAAATACAGGGAGTCCCCAGGTTAAGAACACCTGGTTTAAGGATGATCCTTAGTTAAGAATGGCGCCTATTGTAGCAAAATTTGAGTTAAATACATAATGGTTTAATTTCACAATACTACTTATACAGTATTATACAACATTGTTCTGGCTTACATACAACTTCGACTTAAGGACAGACCTTGGGAAGGAAACTCATTCTTGAACCGGGGATTACCTGTATATTATTCTTCCTTTCCACCAAATGCAAAGAAGTTTTTTTTAAAAAAAATGGGTGGAGAGTGCAATTCTCTTGAAAAGGCAAATGCTTCCTGCCTTGTGAAAGATGCTCTGAGCCTGAACTGGCTTGCCAAAGATTAATTGGTCTCTTGATTATTTCCTAAGTCAGGGATGGCAGGGATCCATTGGGCTGAAGGAAAGAGTGCAAGGCATTTCCTCTGGGAGTCAAAGCAACTTAAATGTTTAAAAATATCCTCTGTTCCCAAGGCGATGACCCTTTGTCCTATAATATATAGTGTTTATCATTGGATTATATTATTGCTCTGAGTGTTTTTATCTACAAACCATCCAGAGTTGCTGGAAGTTGGGTGGAATAAAAATTTAATAAATAAATAACAGAGATTCTCTTTTCACCATCATGGTTTGGATCTTCCCTGCAATCTGTTTCCTCCCCCCATAATCCATAGACCCAGCCTTTCTCAAACTTGGTGACTTTAAGATGAGTGGACTTCAACTTCCAGAATTCCCCAGCCAGCATGGCTGGCTGGGG